AGATGAACAAAACCTATTGAGGCAGACTCAACATGGGTTCTGTAAGGGAAGATCTTGTCTCACTAACCTATTAGTGTTCTTTGAGGGGGTGAACAAACATGTGGACAAGGGGGATCCAATAGATATTGTTTACCTTGACTTCCAGAAAGCTTTTGATAAAGTTCCTCATCAAAGGCTCCTAAGTAAGCTAAAAAATCATGGGATAAAAGGACAAGTCCTTTTATGGATCAAAAACTGGCTAATTAATAGAAAACAGAGAGTGAATATAAATGGGCAATTTTCTCAGTGGAGGGACGTAAGCAGTGGGGTACCGCAGGGATCAGTACTTGGTCCACTGCTTTTTAACTTGTTCATTAATGATTTGGAGATGGGAGTAAGCAGTGAAGTGGCTAAATTTGCGGATGATACAAAGTTGTTCAAGGTGGTGAAAACCAGTGAGGATTGTGAGGCACTCCAAAGGGATCTGTCAAAGATGGGCGAGTGGGCATCAACATGGCAAATGGGGTTCAATGTGGCCAAGTGCAAGGTGATGCACATTGGAGCCAAAAATCCTAAATATAAATACACATTGATGGGGTCTGAACTGGCAGAGACTGATCAAGAGAGAGATCTTGGAGTTGTAGTAGATAACTCACTGAAAATGTCGAGACAGTGTGTGACTGCAATAAAGAAGGCCAATGCTATGCTGGGGATTATTAGGAAGGGTATTGAAAACAGATCAGCCAATATAATAATGCCCCTATATAAATCAATGGTGAGACCTCATTTGGAATACTGTGTGCAATTCTGGTCACCACACCTTAAAAAGGATATTATAGCTTTGGAAAAAGTGCAGAAAAGGGCAACTCGAATGATAAAAGGGTTGGAACACTTTCCCTATGAGGAAAGGTTAAGGCGCTTAGGGCTCTTTAGCTTGGAGAAACGACAACTGAAGGGTGACATGATTGAGGTTTATAAGATTATGCATGGGAAAGAGCAGGTAGAGAAAGAGGTACTTTTCTCCCTTTCTCACAATACAAGAACTCGTGGGCACTCCATGAAAACTGCAGAGCGGTCGGGTTAGAACGGATAAAAGGAAGTACTTCTTCACCCAAAGAGTGATTAACACATGGAATTCACTGCCACAGGAAGTGGTGGGTGCTACAAGCATGGACGGCTTCAAAAGGGAATTAGATAAGCATATGGAGCAGAGGTCCATCAGTGGCTATTAGCCACAAGGTATAGCTAGGGGCTCTGGGGCAAGTGATGCTCTGTCTTCTTGGTGCTTGGGGGGGTCAACAGTGGGAGGGCTTCAAATGTCCTGGCCCCAGTGGTGGACCTCCTGATGGCACTGGTATTTCTGGCCACTGTGTGACACAGAGTGTTGGACGGGATGGGCCTTTGGCCTGATCCAACATTGGCATCTCTTATGTTCTTAATGCCTGGCAGAACACCTCTGCCTTGCATGCCCTGCGAAAAGGTAGTAACTCCCATAGGGCATGCATGTCTCGCGGTAGAGAGTTCCACCAGGCGGCAACCAAGGCCAAAAAAGCCCTGGCCCTGGTTGAGGACAGTGGGACCTCTCTTGGGCTGGGGACCACCAGGAGGTTCTTATTTCCTGAGCGTAACCTTTGTCTTGACATAGCACGTGGCATCATACCCCAGAAGGGCTCACTGCCCTCCCCTGATACCAACTTCCCCTGGTGCCCCCTCTGAATCTCCAGGCATTTCCCAAACTGCAGATGGCAGTCCTATCCCGTCAATGTGGACAGCTGCCAGAGCGTGCGTGCACCACAAGTTGTGCATTTAAATCACAGGGATTATACCTGAACTGGGTTGCCAAACCCGGGTTTTTTGGAAATACCTGGAAATTTGACTGTGGGGCCTGGGAGGGTGCAGTATAGGGAGAGGACGGACCTTGGGAGGGTATCATGCCATGCAGTCTACCTTCCAAAGCAGCATTTTCTCCAGAAGTGGAATAAACGTTTTAAATAAATAAAAAAGAAACGAGACATGTCCTCTTTGTTCGGTGTCCGTCCTCTTTGGGGCTCTTTTTAAAAAACAAGTGAAAACGCCCTCTTTTGGGGTTGGAAAGTCAGTAATATTCCTGGTGAGTAGCAATCACCACAGCTTCAATAGTAGGGGTATTTCAAATGAGATCTGTCACAGTGACCACTGTCTGAAGTCAACAGTCGGTAAACATGTCCTCTTTTTTGCTTTTCAAAATATGGTAACCCTAACTTATATGTATTTAAGGACATGTGGCCTTTTTTTGGTGTCCATCCTATTTTGGGCTCTTTTTAAAAAACAGATGAAAATGGCCTCTTTTTGGGTTAGGTTAGGAATATTCCTAAAAGGTAAAGGTTTCCCTTTGCTTGAAAGCCAGTTGAATCTGACTCTAGGGGGTAGTACTCATCTCCGTTTCCAAGCCGAAGAGCCAGCGCTGTCCGAAGACATTTCCGTGGTCATGTGGCTGGCATGACTAAACGCCGAGGCGCACGGTACGCTGTTACCTTCGGAAGCGACACCTATTTATCTGCTTGCAATTTCTTGCTTTTGAACTGCTAGGTTGGCACGAGGAATATTCCTCCCTAGTAGCAATGATCACAGCTTCAATTGTGGATGTGGAGGCAGGGTTTTGTTTTTTTCCCTGGGGGAATGCACGTGAACAGAGTTCTGGAACCTCTTTGACAGAATTCTTTTGTAAAAATTTAAAAGTTAATGGGTTTCCAGTGTACAGATTGAAAACTTCATTTCCCTCTTGAGAGTTCTGGCATCTCTCTCTCTCTCTCTCTTTTTAAAGGCCCTGAGTCGGGGTACTTCAAAGGAGATTAGTCATAAGGTAAAGGTAAAGATTCCCTTGCTCGAAAGCCAGTCGAATCCGACTCTAGAGTTGGGGTGCTCATCTCCGTTTCAAAGCCGAAGAGCCAGCGCTGTCCGAAGACGTTTCCGTGGTCATGTGGCCGGCATGACTAAACACCAAGGCGCACGGAACGCTGTTACCTTCCCACCGAAGTGGTCCCTATTTATCTACTTGCAATTTCTTGCTTTCGAACTGCTAGGTTGGCAGGAGCTGGAACTAGAGACGGGAGCTCACTCGGGTCTCGAACTGCTGAACGACCGACCTTCCTGTTATGTATTGACTTGTATGCATGAACTGCTATGTGAATCACCTAATTGAGATACCATGTTAAGCTTCGCCCTGGGCTAGGATCCTAATGTAACCAATAGGAGCCCTAGCCCAGAATGTGTCTGCCAATCAGCTTGCAAAGCGGGATCGCTCCTGATTGGACGTTATCTCTTCAACCTCATAGGTTGTATTACTGTACAGTGGGTGTGGCTACACTAGCCGGGAGTGTTTAAATATGAACAAGCCAGTGTATGTAAATTGTCTCTGTTCTCTGATGAGTTCTGGCTGGCGGTTGTTGTACTGTGTTGGAGAAGTAACTGAGCTGAAGAAATAAACCGCATTCTTGCTGAAATCACTCTCCGACTTCTTGTTAAGCTCGCGACTTAACACTTCCACAGCCTGCAGTTCAGCGTCTTAACCACTTGAGCCACAGGTGTCATAGTGATCCCTTAATTGAAGTAGACGGTGGGGAAATATCTCCTTTTTGTTTACGGTGACCAATGTTCCCTCTAAGCTGTGGAGTCTTGTGAGCAAATATTCTACTTTGTGAGGTAATGGCATTAAAGTTGTGAGTGAGTGATCTGGCTACTGCATCAGTTAGTTTGCTCTGGAGCCACATCCTTCCTGAGCTAAGACAAAAGTGTGTGAGCTGGAGGCTAAAAAACTGTGAGCTGGCTCGCACTAACTCGGCTTAGAGGGAACACTGACGTAGGTGACCCTAAACAAACACGGGCGGGAGATCTCCTGGAAGGGCACCTGCTCTCCAGACGACATCGCTCGCTTTCGTCTTGCCAGCCCTAAGGTGCGTCCACCAAAAAGTTTTCAGTATTTTTTGATAGGGAAGTTATGACAAGGTTCATTCTTAATCCTTTAGATAAATGGTTCCCTTTCTTGGAGAAGGCAGAGAAAATGATTCGTGAAAAATGGGCTCTATCTAATATTCGTGCAATGTTAATGTAAGTTTTCAGGTTCGAATTTTCTATTGTTGGGTTTTGTGAGTTTTCTTGAGTTTATCAAATAATATTACTGTGATGCACCTGTTATTCTGGTAACCAGTTATTCAGTATCTATACTTGTTTTATATGTGTAAAAAACTGTGAATGCTTTTTGGAAAATTATAAAACTCAATAAAGTGTTTTTAAAAAAAGGAAGAAAGAAACCAACGGCTGGACAGCAACCATCACGCACGTCATCGCTGCATCGGGGGGGGGGG